CCTCTAATCTCCCCTGCCCAGAAGAAAATAATCAAAGAAATCTCTAAAGCACCAAAAAACACCAGGCTATTGGTTATATCCCCTTCAAGCTGTAGGGGGAGGAGAATTTGGCCCAACCCAGGTACATGTCCCTTTCTCTCTCTCTGATTTGAAGCAGATCAAGGTAGACCTGGGGAAGTTTTCAGATGATCCTGATAGGTACACAGATGTCCTACAGGGCTTAGGGCAAACCTTCGACCTCGCTTGGAGAGATATCATGTTACTGTTAGATCAAACCCTGGCCTTTAATTTAGCTGCAGCCCGAGAGTTTGGAGATACTTGATATGTTAGTGACGTAAATGATAGAATGATAGCCGGAAAAAGGGACAAATTCCCTACTAGTCAGCAAGCCGTCCCCAGTACGGCTTTCCACTGGGACCTCGACTCAGATCATGGGGACTGGAGTCATAAACATCTGTTGACCTGTGTTCTAGAAGGACTAAGGAGAATTAGGAAAAAGTCCATGAATTATTCAATGATGTCTACCACAACTCAGGGAAAGGAAGAAAATCCTTCTGCCTTCCTCAAGCGGCTATGGGAGGCCTTAAGAAAATATACTCCCCTGTCACCTGAATCACTCAAGGGTCAACTGGTTCTAAAAGGTAAGTTTATTACCCAATCAGCCACAGATATCAGGAGAAAGCTCCAAAAGCAAGCCCTTGGGCTCTGAACAAAATGTGGAGGAGTTATTAAACCTGGCAGCCTCGGTGTTCTATAATAGGGACCAAGAGGAACAAGTCCAAAAGGAAAAGTGAGATCAGAGAAAGGCCGCAGGCTTAGTCATGGCCCTTAGACAAACAAATCTTGGTGGTTCAGAGAGGACAGAAAATGGAGCAGGCCAATCACCCGGTAGGGCTTGTTATCAGTGTGGTTTACAAGGACACTTTAAAAAAGACTGTCCAGTGAGAAACGAGCTGCCCCCTTGTCCATATTCACTATGCCAAGGCAACCACTGGAAGGTGCACTGCCCCAGAGGATGAAGGTTCTCTGGGACAGAAGCCCCCAACCAGATGATCCAACAACAGGACTGACAGTGCCTGGGACAAGCACCAGCTCATGTCATTACCCTTACTGAGCCCTGGGTATGCTTAACCATTGAGGGCCAGGAAATTGACTTCTTCCTGGACACTGGCGCAACCTTCTCAGTGTTGATCTCCTTTCCTGGACGACTGTCCCCAAAGTCTGTTACCATCCAAAGAATTATGGGACAGCCTGTAACCACGTATTTCTCCTACCTCCTCAATTGTAATTGGGAGACTTTGCTCTTTTCACATGCCTTTCTTGTTATGCCTGAAAGTCTCACACCCTTATTAGGGAGGGATATATTAGCCAAAGCTGGAGCTATTATCTACATGAATATGGGGAAAAAGTTACCCATTTGTTGTCCCCTACTTGAAGAGGAAATCAACCTTCAAGTCTGGGCATTGGAAGGACAATTTGGAAGGGCAAAAAATGCCCACCCAGTCCAAATCAGGTTAAAGGATCCCACCACTTTTCCTTATCGAAGGCAATATCCCTTAAGGCCTGAAGCTCATAACGGTTTACAGGATATTGTTAAACATTTAAAAGCTCAAGGCTTAGTAAGGAAATGCAGCAGTCCCTGCAATACCCCAACTCTAGAAGTATAAAAACCGAATGGTCAGTGTAGACTAGTGCAAGACCTTAGGCTCATCAATGAGGCAGTAACTCCTCTATATCCAGTTGTACCCAACCCCTGTACTCTGCTCTCTCAAATACCAGAGGAAGCAGAATGGCGCACAGTTCTGGACCTCAAGGATGCCTTCTTCTATATTCCCCTGCACTCTGACTCCCAGTTTCTCTTTGTCTTTGAGGATCCCACAGACCACACATTCCAACTTATGTGGACGGTCTTGGCCCAGGGGTTTAGGGATAGCCCTCATCTGTTTGGTCAGGCACTGGCCCAAGATCTAGAGCCATACAACTAATACCCCTACTTATAGGGTGAGGAATGGCTACTGCTATAGGAACCGGAATAGCCAGTTCATCTACTTCATTATCCTACTACCACACACTCTCAAATGATTTCTCAGACAGTTTGCAAGAGATAACAAAATCTATCCTTACTCTATAATCCCAAATAGACTCTTTGGCAGCAGTGACTCTCCAGAACCACTGAGGCCTAGACCTCCTCACTGTGGAGAAAGGAGGACTCTACACCTTCTTAGGGGAGGAGTGTTGTTTTTATACTAACCAGTCAGCGATAGTAGGAGATGCTGCCCGGCATTTACAGGAAAAGGCTTCTGAAATCAGGCAACGCCTTTCAAATTCTTATACCAACCTCTGGAGTTGGGCAACATGGCTTCTCCCCTTTCTAGGTCCCATGGCAGCCATCTTGCTGTTACTCACCTTTGGACCCTGTATTTTTAACCTCCTTGTTAAACTTGTTTCCTCTAGAATCCAGGCCATCAAGCTACAGATGGTCTTACAAATGGAACCCCAAATGAGTTCAACTAATAACTTCTACTGAGGACCCCTGGACTGATCTGCTGGTCCTTTCACTGGCCTAAAGAGTTCCTCTCTGGAGAATACTACAACCACAGGGTCCCTTCATCGCCCCTATCCAGCAGGAAGTAGCTAGAGCAGTCACTGGCCAAATTCCCAACAGTAGTTGGGGTGTCCTGTTTAGAGGGGGGATTGAGAGGTGACAATGTGCTAACAGCCCTTGCTCACTCTCCGCCTCCTTGACTTTGGCATCCACTCTAGCCGCACTTGAGGAGCCCTTCATCCTACCACTGCACTGTGGGAACCCCTCTCTGGACTTGCCAAGGCCAGAGCTGGCTCCCTCTGCTTGTGGGGAGGTGTGGAGGGAGAGGCGCAGATGGAAACGGGGGCTGTGTGTGGCGCTCTCAGGCCAGTGCGAGCTCCAGGTGGGTGTGGGCTTGGCGGCGCGCATTCAGAGCGGCTGTCCGGCGCCTCCGGCCCTGGGCATAGAGGGGCTTAGCACCGGGGCCAGCCACTGTGAAGGGTGCACCAGGTCTCCCAGCACTGCCGGCCCACCCATGCAGCACTCAAATTCTTGCAGGGCCTCAGCCACCTCCCCGTGGGCCATGCCTGAGCCCCTCCCCCACCCTAGTGGGCTCCCACGTGGCACAAGCCTCCCTGAGGAGCACCACCCTCTGCTCCATGGGGCTGAGGAATGCAGGCGCGCAGTGCGGGACTGGCAGGCAGCTCCTCCCCCAGTCCCGGCACAGGATCCACTAGATAAAGCCAGCTGGGCTCCTGGGTCAGGTGGGGATTTGGAGAACTTTTATGTCTAGCTAAAGGATTGTAAATGCACCATTCAACACTGTGTCTAGCTCAAGGTTTGTAAACGCACCAATCAGCACCCTGTCAAAAGAGACTAATCAGCTCTCTGTAAAATGGACCCATCAGCTCTCTGTAAAATGGACCAATCAGCAGGATGTGGGTGGGATCAGATAAGGGCATAAAAGCAGGCTGCCCGAGCCAGCTGTGGCAAGCTGCTCGGGTCTCCTTCCCTGCTGTGGAAGCTTTGTTCTTTCGCTCTTCACAATAAACCTTGCTGCTGCTCACTCTTTGGGTCTGCGCTGCCTTTGTAAGCTGTAACACTCTCCGTGAAGGTCTGCAGCTTCACTCCTGAAGCCGGCGAGACCACGAACCCACTAGAAGGAAGAATCTCCAGACACATCTGAATATCTGAAGGAAAAACTCTGGACACACCATCTTTAAGAACTGTAACACTCACCGCGAGGGTCCGTGGCTTCATTCTTGAAGTCAGCGAGACCAAGAACCCACCAATTCCGGACACAGTGGGGCTAAGGCTTGCAAATTTGGGGACCACTTTTGACATGCAGCCAGAATTGAGAGTGATTGCTTAAGAGATATTTTCATCACCTTCCATAGTCCAGATGGCAAAATGCAGACCCTACCCAAGGTCACTAACAGTAGCTAATGAAAAATCTGAGATGAGAACATAGACATCAGTGCTACCTTCATAACACATTACGGTTTAGGGTATGTTAATTAATGGCACGTTTCTATTTCCTGATTAATACTATTAGTTCATGTAACCTATGTACTACTTATCAATTGTATGTCAGAATTCAGAATTTAATAATGCAAGTTTATAAAAACAAAGGTACAGATGTAATACCACTCTCCTTCTGGGACAAATAAATGTCTTTCTCATTTAAAAGCAATATTTTCTTCCTAAAAAATGACATATCCGAGCAGTAGATAAACTCTCTTAATAGGAGACGTATGACATAGTGGAAAAAGTATGACTGCTAACTAAGACGCCTTAATTCTAGTCCTAATTATGGCCATAACTCTGCAATGGGCACAATCTATTTCTTTCCTCTGAATCTCAGTTTTCTTATCTGTAAAATAAGGGTGTTGTATATGATGATCTCCAAGGTTTCTTGCAGCTAAGATCCATGCTCAGAAGGGTCTAATCTTATCACTCTTTCCAAGCTACTCTATTCTGCTAAATGCATTGCATTCATCCTGACATTTGTGTGCAGACTGAACAAACTTTAAAAATGAAACTTCCTATCTGCTGTAGGACAATGCATTCACTTAAATTCTAGTTAATCTATTTGTTCCATGTCGAGGAAAAACTGGGCCATCAGATGAAAATCCATCTTTTCTGCTGTCTTGTCAAGACTCGTTCTGATTCTTGTGATTGACTGGTCAGAACTCTTACTAGAGAGTCAGCAGCATCCACCCAACAAGACTCATTCTTTGTAGCTGCCTTTGGGAAATGGTTATGATCTACCCATCCCTCGCCCTTTTACATTCACAGCTGCTGATCTGAAAATTATGATGTGTCACACATTTTACAACCTTAACATCCATCAACTCATCTTTACATTTCTAATCCCAGCTTAACTACAATGGATTTTTAGGTAGCTAGAGATGTTAGCCAATCAAGACAGAAGTCACATCACAAAGGAGTAGCATACTGAATATACACTTCTTACCTTACGCTTGTTGGTAGGACACACATAGAGATAGCTCAAAATGGTTTTCAAACCAACTTTATCATTCAGCTTCTCATAGGTTGTTCCATAATCGGTTGACCTGTAATTCAAAAAGAGCATTAATGAGGATAGAAGTAGACGTCATTTGACTGCTTGTCAGTATAATGCATGTTTTACATAGTAGAATGGCTCTCAGGAGGTTTCTCAATGATTCATGTAGTATATAATGATGCTTAATGATGTACACAGTAGCATCATGTGAGTGGTTAAAATCTGCATTTAAATTGAATTGGTAAAATTAAAACTCCATCTCTCTACTGCTCCTTAATATATGCACATTGCATAAAGAATGTGGTTAATTTAAAAATAATAAGAGATGAGGGTGCCCCTTGATTTGACCAAATAATTAAAGAGTTTTTAGTTAGATATGACATTTCCAAGCTTTTACTTTATGTTTGGCACAGTAGAAAAGCAGGTTCTCGTGATTTATCTACAAATTGTGTTTTCTTTCATGAGTCAGGGAATATGTGGTGGATCAGTCCCTTCAAAGGTCAGTCAGTCTTATTATTTAAGGGCAAGAAAATGTCTCAATAATAAGTGAGATTTCACTAATTTCTTACTCCATGGCCTTTTCCAGTGTTAAGCAATCTGAAGTCAGGAGGCCATGACTTCTTGACACTGACTCTGTTTTTCCTATAGAGTCTCTCAACTTTAGCCATTGGTCAACAAATTATTCATGCAGATTAAATAAATTGCTTTTCATTACCTTCTCTATGAAGGTCTACTCTATTTCAGAATTTTCATCTTATTGTATCATCATGACAGCTATGTACAGCAGGGATTATTATTTGTATTTGATGACAATGGCTGAGAGAACTTCAGTAACTTGTTCAAAGAAATTTAACAATTTTCCTGATAAATGGGCAGCTAGAAATTGAATTCAGGTATTTTAGCCTAAGCCCCATGTTGCTTTCATTATACCTCAATTTTTTTTTCCTTTTTTTCTTTTCTTTTCTTTTTTTTTTTAATTCAAAGAAGATAGGGCTGGGCACAGTGGCTCACGCCTGTAATCCCAGCACTTTGGGAAACCAAGATGGGTCAATCACTTGAGGTCAGGAATTACAGACTAGCCTGGCTAACATGGTGAAACTCATTCTATACCAAAAATACAAAAATTAGCCTGGTGTGATGGCACGCACCTGTAGTCCGAGCTACTTGGGAGGCTGAGGCACAAGAATCACTTGAAACCAGGAGGCAGAGGTTGTAGTGAGCCGAGATCATACCATTGCACTCCAGCCTGGGCCAAGGGGCAAGACTCTATCTCAAAACAAAACAAAAAAAGGCCAGGCGTGGTGGCTTACACCTGTAATCCCAGCACTTTGGGAGGCTGAGGCGGGCAGTTCATGAGGTCAGGAGTTTGAGACCAGCCTGGCCAATATGGTGAAACCCTGTCTCTACTAAAAATACAAAAATTAGCCAAGCATGGTGACAGGCGCCTATAATCTCAGCTACTCAGGGGGCAAAGGCAGGAGAATTGATTGAACCCGGGAGGTCGAGGTTGCAGTGAGCCAAGACAGTGCCACTGCACTCCAGACTGGGTAGAGTCTTGTCCAGAGCAAGACTCCATCTCAAAAAAAAAAAAAAAAAAAAAAAAAAGCACTTTGGGAAACCAAGATGGGTCAATCACTTGAGGTCAGGAATTACAGACTAGCCTGGCTAACATGGTGAAACTCATTCTATACCAAAAATACAAAAATTAATTGGTGTGATGGCACGCACCTGTAGTCCGAGCTACTTGGGAGGCTGAGGCACAAGAATCACTTGAAACCAGGAGGCAGAGGTTGCAGTGAGCCGAGATCACATCATTGCACCCAGCCTGGGCCAAGGGGCAAGACTTATCTCAAAACAAACAAAAAGGCCAGGCGTGGTGGCTTACACTGTATCCCAGCACTTTGGGAGGCTGAGGCGTGACAGTTCATGAGGTCAGGAGTTTGAGACCAGCCTGGTTACCATGGTGAAACCTCGTCTCTACTAAACACAAAAATTAGCCAAGACAGACAGGCGCCTGAGTAATCTCAGCGCTACTCAGGCAAAAGGCAGGAGAATCTGATTGAACCCGGGAGGTCAGGAGGCTGCAGTGAGCCAAGACAAAGCACTGCACTCCAGACTGGGTAGAGTCTTGTCCAGAGCAAGACTCCATCTCAAAAAAAAAAAAAAAAAAAAGAAGAAGAAGATAGATATAAAATGATATAAAATTTCCTTTCAGCTTTCTTACTTAGGAGATTGTTGATAAAATTCATTCATTCATTCACGTTTGTAGTGCTCCTAAGGCGTACCAGTGTTGCTAAGTGCAAGGACACAGCACACAGCCTCTACACTCAAGTATGTCACATTTTTATTTGAAAGAAATATAAACAAATATTTAGAATATGTTAAGTGCAAAGACAGAGATATGAGTTAACAATGCTTAGAAATTAAAGTTGATTTAATTAGAAAAACACAAAATTTTTAACCATCTTAATTAATTTCTGATACTGGTAAAAGTTACAAATTCTTACAGGCCACAACGACTAAGTAGAAATGTGTGTTAACAACCTCACTACAGTCCGTTCAGTATATATGGTGGACCAAACACTGGAGCAAGAAAGCTGTATAAAAGTGATCCTGGAGCTAGGAATTTAGGATTTATTCTGGCTGGAGATTCAAGATATTTCTTCCTAAAATTTATACATAGATGGCGAACAGAAAAGGGTCTACAATTTAGAGGACTGAGATGCCATTCCTAATCGCTGAGGAATAAAGTACTATGCAAAACTTCTTGAAATAACTATGAACCTCAAAAATGGGTAAGTTTAGAAAACAAAACTAGAGCATCACAGACTAGATGTTACCTTTGTAACAAAAATATATACCTGGCTTATTTCAGGACCAGTCTCTGCACTATTATAATCAAACACACATTAGCTTAATAGTCAAGAATATTTGAGGAGCATTCTAGAACTATTTCACAGGATATCTCATTAATGAATCACAACAAAACTTCTTAAAATCTTCCTTTCAAATCTATATTTTTCTCGAAAATTCATAGCTTACTTGAGGGAATTTCCTGGTATTCTCTAAGAAATGTCTAAGATTTCTTCCCTAGCCCAGTCCACTCTTTTTTTTTTTTCTTTTTTGAGATGGAGTCTCACTCTGTCACCCAGGCTGGAGTGCAGTGGGGTGATCTCGGCTCACGGCAACCTCCACCTTCTGGGTTCAAACGATTCTCCTGCCTCAGCCTCCCGAGTAGCTGGGATTACAGGCACACATCACCACACCGGACTAATTTTTGTATTTTTAGTAGAGATGGGGTTTCACCATGTTGGCCAGGTTGGCCTTGAACTCCTAACCTTAGGTGGTCCACCCACCTCAGTCTCCCAAAGTGTTGGGATTACTGGCATGAGTCAAGGCACCCAGCCCCTAGTCCACTCTTGGTGTTTTGTCTTTTTTTCCATTCTTATCTTAATCTCCTGAGTCAACATTCTCTTTCTAGAAGGTCTTGTGTGTCTCTCACATGTTGCTAGCCTTATTCTACCTCCTTTTATTGTACAGTTGTTTTTTTCTATTCATTATTCTGAACAATACTCCCAAGTTCTAGAACCAAAAAAAAAAAAAAAAAACAGATGCAAAATCTACCTGGGGGGTGGCGGGAAAAGAATGAAATGTGTAAATACTGCTACATTAATAAATTTAGCCTGATGATAGGTGGAAATCAGTAAGACTACATTAAAGACGAGAGAATGGTTCAATTTTCCTAGTGGAATAATGAGAAAAAGAGACTACAAAAGTAGGAACTAGTCTATAGAGAGTGTGACGTGTTTCTTATAATTTCTATTAACTTGATCCTGGAGCTATTTGACGAACACTTCTACATTTAAAAAAACAAGGCATAGAAAGGCAAATGAGGATTATAAGGATGCTACATACAATCATCCTTATTTGCATGTGTGTGTGTCTGTGTGGGTGGGTGAGTGGGTGCATATTAAACTCTAATCCTAATGTGACAAGATGACAATTGAGTGACTTAGTCAGATTTACATTAGCAACATTTTTTTTCAGGAAGCTTACACTACGTTATTGGACATTTTTATCTTATTGTAACATAATTCATCCAGCAATCCAGATGCTTCAAGGTATCCATCATTTTTTGGTGCCATCTCTTGTTTCTTGATTTTACAAAGCTTAAAAGTTAACCCAAATTTTGATAATTCTCCACTCGAGCAGAATTGCATATTTAAGCATCATGGCTTTGTAATAAGCAATTGATAGAAAATGATGCATTTTCACATATCCAAGTGGTATAGATTAGTGGTTGTCCAAGGGTGTCCCACAGAACTAGAATTAGATAGAGTGTTGATAAGTTTCATTGGCAGAACCAACAATCAGCTGGCGTACATTGGTATGGCAGTACAGAAGTAAAAATAGTAAATACTTTCAAACCAGTTGATAAATAGTTACTGCACCAAGTTCTCTGAGTAGTTTTTCCTGTGAGCCTTTTCACCATGGTCTCCCACTCAGGGGCCTTTCAAGTTTCCTCACAGTATAGCAAACAAAAGATTGAGGCCTGGCATGGCAGAGATCCTCAACAAACTTGCTCCAGCACCAACACCCGTGCTGATCTGTCAAGGCCTTTGCCAATCAGGCTGCACCCCAGTGGGGGACTCAGTGACCTTGGGTTGGCATTGCCATCATGGAAGGCAATTTCTAGTGCCCATCTGTAAGCCCTGATTCACAGCTAAGAGATGCTTCCAGCTCTACTCGCACATTTATGGGAGCTGTAGTCTCCTATAGACATGAGCTCCAAAAGATCAGAGGATGCTTTTTACCTAACAAAGAGTTGAGTCGATGTGCTGGTTAAATATTTTAACTATCAACCCTAGGTATGGAAGAGGAGGACATTTTCCAAGAACAAAAAATATTGAGAAATGTGTGATTAGGCAACATTTAATATTCCTTTACTTCATAACTTTTCACAAAATATATTATTCTAATATACATTGAACCTCTTAAGAGCATATTTCATACAACATTTTCCAAACATATTTGATGATAGGATCCATT